ATTATGATCAAATTATTACGATTGTTATTACTGCGATTATTTTTTAAAAAAATACAATTACAATACTACTATTTTAAAATAATAATACAAAAATTATACAACTATTTTAAAAAAGTTGTACAGTCCCGGTGGATCCCTTGTAGCCCGCTGTATTTCTTGGAATTCCCCGAAGATGCCTTCTACAACAAAATCCGCAAAAAAAGTACAAAAACCCTCAGATCCCTCCACCCACACCCACCAATTCCAGGCAATCCACGGTCAGGCAAAGGGGCAAATTGCCACGAAGTGGAGATGGCTGCACGACTGGCTAAATAGCTACACGAATACCTCAAACTAGCGAGTTCAAAAATCAAGCCCGAAATCGCTGCTAATTCACTTTAATGAGGTGGGAAGATGCATTTTATAGCGTGTTCGTCCAGTTGTATTGGGCTGGTGCAGTGCAGCGTGCCAGAGCTGGTCCTAGCGAAAACTGAAGGGCGGAGCGGAAGCGCGAGAGGGTGGGCGGTCTATACGAGTAACGAGTAGCGTCCTGTGCAGGTAACGAACAACATCCTGTACAGATAACTAGCCTATCCAGAATGTGTAAATGCGACTCGCTACCAGGTACAAGTTAGGAAATGTTACCTGTAATTTGATGTTTTCGTGAAGTCCGTGCATTATGAAGCTTTTGTTTTTCGTTATTCACTTCTGTTTGGAGTTTGATTGTTGCGAACAGCGGCTTGTATATATTGTCGATAACTCATTTTGGCCATTTTTGGGGCTAATAAGTATGGAATGTCAAGTGAATAGCGGGGGAAATGAGCACTTCCGACACATTTTACTACTTGGAGTTTAATCAAGGGTTTAGTGCTGTAGAAACTGCGAGAATTTGTGGTGTGTACTGAAGGGAAGCATTTGCTGAAAGGACGGCGCCGACCTGAGCTTAGGTGCCCTGGTAACATTACCCGTCGTAGCTGGTCGTACCTGCTAGCGGGTCGCATTTACACATTCTAGATAGGCTTAAAGTTACCCTGGTAACTTTACCCGTTGCTTTGACCAATGCTGCATCCACTAGTGGTCAGCTTGAGGGGGCCCTGAAGTTCGTTTCGTCTCCCGTTATTTACTGATATTTACTGCTTGAATTCAATGGAGGATTTAGTACTGTAGAATCCGCTTCGTTCATCTGTTATCTGACAACTACGAAAAGTTGTTTACTGATAGGGCGATTAAATACCAACTTGAAGTCCGAAACGTTACCGTGATATTTCTGAGACATAGGAGGGACTACAGTTGCTCGAGAACCCCGTAGCTAGAAATGTGTGAAAAACCGGTCCTCGAATTTCAGGAATTTAATTGTCCACGCTGTATTTGGACAAGGAACATTCCCCAAAAATTTCAGCCCCACAGCTCTCCTGGTTCCGGAGTTAGCCATTTTCCCGCCAAAAATCTTTCACGTGTCCGTACGTGGAAATACATATACATATAAATATCTTTTATTCAAAAAACAATACATTTGACGAAAAAAAGCAAGTTGGAATATTTTACTCGAAGAACACAAACAACACATTTGACAGATGAAAAAATTGACGGAAAAAGATAAATTCTGAAAAGTGATTCAAAAGAGATTAGCACCAAAAAAGTGAATGAATGAAGTCTGGAATGTATGTAATCCGGATATTTTTAAATGGATGAATGACGAGCACATGGCAGTAGATTAGTTCAGACAGTATGAGATACTCCAGAAACAAGTAACAATGAGTATATTTTCAAGCTGATATGAGAAACTAAACATCATCAAATTTCCAAAAAAAGAAATTAAAGATTGTCAAATTTCAAAAAAAGGTCAAAATCGACAAATTTTAACGAAAAAGAACTAAAGATTGTCAAATTTTAACGAAGAAAAGAAAGATCGTCAAATTTCGAAAAATAAAGAACTAAGATTGTTAAATTTCAAGAAAAAAAAAGAAACTAAAGACTGCGAAATTTAAAAAAAAAAAAAAGAAACTGAAGATCATCAAATTTTAACAAAAAAAAAGTTAAATAAAAAAGTCAAAAAACATTCTGTTTCCACTTTCCAGGTACTCGGCAGTAGCTTAATTGCTAAGAACTGGCAAGGCGGTCTATGGTTCC